TTATATGTATCACCATTACAGACAGTAGATATTTTATTTTAAAGAGCTATACCAACTAAATTTTTATAGTCTAAGAAATTTTAAGTATATAGAGAAGTAGAAAAAATGAAAATATTAAATATTTTTTATAATTTCAATTTCTATAATCTCAATTTTTTAATGATAATTAATTATAAATAGCGAAATTATTTAAATAATTTTTTATATTTTTTTAATTTGTTTTAATTTTTTAAATATGAATACAAAATATGCTTTTCTCTTCATAATTTAATATATACGTGATATATAATTAATGTGTTTCAGTTTTAATATTCGATATTTTGATATTCGATATTAAAAAGATACGATCAAAATAACAGTATACATTATATTGTAGAAATCAAATATTCAGTATAATAACGGAAAATATTATCATAATTAGATAGTGTCACGCATTAAGAGGTGCTGCATACATTAAGGTCTAGATGTCGCATATACACGATTACACGCTTTTATGTGTATAATTAAAACATTAATGTAATTTAAATATCAAAGTTAAATTACTATAAGCATATGTTGAGCTACAATATTGAGCTGTAAATGCTCAATATTGTGTAGCAATACAATATTGCTAAAATTCTGAAATTAGAAACTGTAGTATATTAATACTAAGATTTTTTTTTATCAAAATAAAAATAATTTAATGATATTGTTGGGTTATATTTGGAGGGTTATAATTTTTAAAGGAAAAATATTATAAAAATAAAAATGATTATAAAAATTTGTGAATATTCTTATCGAATAAAATGTTATAAGAATTTATGAAAATATTTGTTTTTTTTTTTTGTTTTTATTATTTCGAATTTATTATTCGTTTAATTTGTTGGGAGTTGAAATTAATTGGAAAAAAAAGAAGAGAGTCATTATAAAACGCAAAAATATTCAATTTATTGTTTGTAAATGTTTTATGTTTGTAAATATGCGTGTATTAAACACAATCTTTTGTTGTTGTTGTTATTTTGTTATATATTAATATTTAATGTATTGTATGTTGTTTTCTTTTGTTATTAAACTTAAGATACTATATTAGCGTGTAAGTGTATGAGTTTCTATATTATGTGCATATAAAAAAACTAATGCATAATTAACTTTTGTTTTTTATTATAAATTGTATTTATGTTTTGTTTTTAACATATATATATATATATATATATACATATATATATATATATATAAATAGCTACATATATATTGGAAACCACAGTATATTGTTTTTAATTTTTTTTTCCTTTTTTTTCGCGTATTTTCAATTGTATAATATGAAAAATAATAAATATAGCAATGAGATTGTAAAATTTCTACTGTCAATATTTTAAAATTTATTTTTTTTTTCTTAAATCTTTATACATAAGTGTAATAAGTATATATAGATATACATAATACATGTATAATAATTTTATATTTAATATTATATAAATTAATATTTTATACAAGAAAAACTGGCTTCTACTGATTGAAAGAATTCATCGAATTTCGCAGTATATTTTCGAATTTATCGAATTGTGTTTTTTATGTTTTGTTCATTTATTTTTCAATGTATGAAATGGTCCACTTACTAAAATAAAAAATGAATTTTTTTTTTTAAATTCTTAAAAGAAAATGGCTATTCTTTTTTTAATTTTTGTTTTTTAATGCCAAAATAAGTAATTTTTTTTTACCAAATTCTTCCAAATAATGGCAGTTGTTTAACAATATTTTTTATGTATAATATAAAATTTTCATCTTTAATATTTTTTTTTTTGTTTTGATGAATTTTATATTTTCATTTTTTTTTTTTGGAAATTATTAAATTTTTTATTTTATTTTATTTATTTTAAAATTATATTTTTTTATTTTATATGTTAACTAGGTATTTTTTTTTTTCTTTTGTTTCTAAAGTTTATGTATTTTATATTATGCTAATTTTTATTTATATAATAATATTATAATATAAATACGATGGTTATGTACAAATATATGGAATTTAAAATTACATTATTTTATGTTATGATTTCTGTGGAAAATTATATTATTTATAGAAAATATACATACATAAATAATTATAAATGTAAAAATGTTTAAGGACATGTTACAATTAAAACATATTAAATGAGAATAATATTTTTGAAAAATTTAAATTTTGGTCTTTCTTAACATATGTATGTATTATATGACACCTCTTGAAGATAATAAAAATGTCAAGGTTTCTGTGTGTAAATCTAGCAATCTATATGTAACTCAATCTATTTAAAGATATTGAATGGAATTGCTTAATACTAATTGTTAAAATTTGTATAAAAAAATTCTATATGTAAGAAGGAAAAAATGCTTACATTGATTTCGATAGCTCTTCATTTAATTACAAATATATATTTGAGAGCTGCACATATGTATATAGTTTAATCTATATTTAGACAACATTTTCTTATTATAACGCAATCAATTTCGAAATTATGAATATATAAGTATAAAAGATACATTTTGTTAAATCTTGATGAATATTATATTATGAGAAATGAATTTTTAAAAAAATTAAATTTGAATTTTATTTATATACTTAAAACATAAAATTCATCGAATTAAGAAATTTTCGCTTAAAATAGTCACGATTAGCGAAATTATCTGAATGAAATTTCGGAAAACTTCATAGTCTAAATTTTAGATTTTTAAATCCTAAAAACTCTAATATTGTAACAAATAATTTTCTTGTATGGTGAATTAATTATAAAAGTTCTTATTTTTTAATTTTAATTTATTTTAATTGTAACAATCGGATAATTATGGAAAAGAATATTGTTAGGAAATTTTATCTTTTTTCAATGTCTTATAGCTCTTGCAGGCCCAAGTTTCCAACATTTTTTTTGTTTGCACTTAGCAAATACATATTTGAAAATTCATTTACGTTTAATTAATTATGAGCTTGAATTAAAAATTAATATGAGAAACGAATGGAAATAAGAATTACAAAAAATATCAAATGTCAAATGCGACAAGTAAAAATAATTATGTTTGTCTCCGAGTTTTTTTGTTCTAAAATTTAAAGTTTCAAGTAGACAAATGCGAACAGAAAATTTGAAAATATAGAGTTTTATAAATATAAATAAAAAATATGTATGTATATTTTTTGTACATATATGTATATAATTACATATAATGATTTTTGATGAATATTCTATATTAATGTTTACCTTTACATATATATATATGTTTCAATTTCATATTATTTTAATTTAATGTCATACATTGTGTATAGTACTTTTTCCAATATTTCATATTTTATTTTATATTTATGTGTAGGTAATTTATAAAATGTTTTAGTGATAGAAATTGTTGTTTGTTTGTTTTCTGATATAAACAAGATTTCTTATTATTTTTTATAATGAATTTTTTTTTTTTTGTTCTACATTTAATTTTAATTCTATATATATAATATAAATTTATTTAAAATTATATAATAATAGTAAAAATAATAAAAATGAAGATAATAATAGTAGTAACAATAATATTATAATATATTATGCATATATGTATGTGAATATATGTATAGAAATAATGATATTATTTTATTAAAACAGTATATTTTATATATATATATATATATATATATATATATATATGTAAATTTTTGTATTCTAATGTTATTGTGAAGGCGTTTTTAAGAAATATAACTATATTTACAAAATCATATGTGATTTTTGTTTTTTTGTTATTTTAATAAGTGCCATAAAATAATATTATTATTTATTTTTTTTATAGTGTATTATTAGTTATGAAAACATAAATTTATTTTTGGTATTACATATAAAGTGATTTGTTTGTCAATATATGAGGGACTCAGAAGCAGAGTTGCGTAAGCCACAATGTCGGTTATGCCACTTTGCTTTTGCAAAATCAGAAAATGTTTACAAAAGCAAAAGTACTTTTATGAGAAATAAAAGCTAATAGGAAAAAGCTATTTCGAAACTGAAAACTAATATTATTGATTTTAGAAGATGTACATAACCGATTGCAGAAAAAAAAATTTTTTTTTTATTTATGCCACTCTGCTCCCAGACCCTCATATATGAGTTGATAAATTTCTTTAACTACAGTCATTATTTTGATATTTTACCATGTTTTTGAAAGAGGCTGCGTACAAGAGAGAAAGAGAGAGAGAGAGAGAGAGACAGACACTTTTGCAATTTTTATTTTTGTATTTAATTTTCTGAAAGAGACTAGATTTTCACTTTTCTGTGAAAGATTTTAGTACGTGTAGGACGCTGCACTGAAGAATATACATAATGTATTTTTTCATGAATAGTGTCATGGCATTGTTAAAGAAAATCGGCTCTTAATTGTGTTAAATTTTACACATTTTACACACCGAAAGTAAAAATTTAATATTTTAATTGTTCTTTATAATAATGATTTGATATTATTGAATAAATTTACTGGCAGAACTCACATTTTTAAAATTGTTTGATAACAAATCATATTAATTATATCTGTCATATATTTGACTAAAATCACTTAATACATAATTTAAATTTAATATTGTATTTATTTATTAATAGTTTTTTTTTTAATATATAAAAATTATTTAACAAAAATTATATAATAAATATAAATACCACAATTGGCTTTTAATTGAAATTATTTTAAATAAATAAATAATGTAATTTTAATTAATTTATAATTATTTCATACAAAATAAATGGTATTGAACTGAAATCAAACTTCATTGATCTTAAAACTTAAACTGATTGAAAGTTTAGGTATATAATTTCCCTAAAATGTTGCTAAATAAAAATAAAATTTATTTTACAGTAAACCTAATATTTTATGAGAGAGAGTAAGGGCTCAACTAAACATGTAATTTTTATGTTTTTCAACAACTGCTTAATTGTATAATCGTTGTGCGCACATCTAAGCAACTAAACAATTGCGTTAGTTTAAATCGATTACTTTAACTAAAAATTGCAATAACTTTGCAAAAAATTGCTTAATTGCATGAGATTATATAGTTGTATGTGTGCGCGCTTAATAATCTATTCAATAAATCTATTGAATACAAATAAGCAATCAAACAGTTGCATAAAATTAAAAATTCTATGTTGGCCTAAGCCCTAAGTAAAATTATATTATATACAATGAGAGATTAAGAGAAATTATATATAGAATGAGAGAGTAGGATTTATTTTAGAATTTAAAAATATAAATAAATTAAAAATTTGTCTGCCTATTAAAATTATAAATTGTTCGACATTATTTTTTGTTATGTTGCGTACGCGTCCACTTAAGTTGTATGAAAGTTAATTACATACAACTATTTACATATTAGATAATTAGTGATTTAACTAATCAAAAAATAGTACGAAATAATTATAATTAACATAATATGCAATTTAATTTATTATTATACAAAAAAAAAAATAGAAAATTATTTATGCATAATATTTTGAAAATAAAAAATATTTGTTTTGTTAAAATATTTTTCCTTTATTTTATTTTTTTTTTTATATTTAAATTAATTTTATTTTTCTATTTTTAATTGTGCGATTTTTCAAATTTATTCATTTGTTTTCTTTTTTAAATTTTTTTTTTATTATTATTTATATTTTATTTTAATTATGAATGTAAATGAGTTTATCAATTTTATTTAAATATTTTTCTTTTGGTTTTTACTAAACAATAATTTTAATCCAATTATTTTCTTTTTGAAAAAAAGATTTGGCTTTTGAGAATTTTCGAATCAGAACTTTCAGGCACAAGACGTCTATCGGACGGTCAATCTTTCGTTGAAAAGGTTTGAATTATTTTTTGTTATACATAAAAATTGAAAAAGAGAAAATATAAATTAAGAATTTAAAGACCTAATAGTAGTATAATACTCGTAGCAATGACCTAATTTATTGACAAAATTCAAGTATAAAGTGCAAATTATTCCGTATATTAGGATACAAGATTAAAATTATTGGTAAACGAAATACAAAAATAATATTAATTTTACTAGTTTTGATAAACATAAAAATTGAATAAGAAAATTTTTCTATTTATCGACCATTTAATAGCCCTGATTCTATTGCAAATTCTTTTTTAAATTCTATGCTTTGTTATTTTGTTTTTGATTTCCTCCTAAAAAATTTTGTTTTATTTCTGCTGTTTTTCGTTCCTCTTCTATGAATTTGTCCAAAAAGCTTAAAATTTTCAATGCATCATATTAATTATATGTGGACGATGATTTTATATAATATCTAAAATATTTAATATTGATTGAAAAATTTTTTTTTGTTTTTAATATTGATTAAAAATACATTTTTTTTTTTAAATCAATTTTTTTTGAAAAAAATTATTTTCAAGGCGGTTTATCTGTATAATCTGTTGGTTTTGGTTTACTAAGATATTCATGAATTTCTGTTTGAGAAGTTTCACTTAATTTAAGTAAATCTTCTCGACTAAGACGATCTAATGAAATTTTTTTAAATTCATTACTATCATTTAAATTTCTTCTTAATGGACTTATTTTTAATGGTAAATTTATATCAGTTTGACGTATATATATTGTTCGAATATCATCATCATCATCATCATCGTCATCATCATTATTATCATTTATATTATTATCATCTTTATTATAATCGATTTTATCACGTGATTGTGGTCTTGATACTGATGTTGCTTCAATTGGTAATGGCATTGGTGGTCTTGAATCTAAATTATCTAAACTACGTTGACGATGATGTAAATTTTGATTTGAACGTTTTGTTGGACGACTACTACGATATCCAATTGAACATGTTTGACTTGAAGAGCTTCGATGTACTGGACGTTTTTCAACTATTTTTATTGATGTATAAAGTGGTTGTTGTTGTGATGATTGTTCAGTTTCATCGGTACAACTAATACTATCATTACTATTTTTTGATAATAAATTCTCTTTACTTCGTTGTATAATTTTTGTTTTAATTTTATCGTCATTACCTATTGATGGTTGTAATAAATCAACAGGTAATTCAGATTTATTTTTTTTACTTATTGAACCAGTTGAACTAGTTGTATTACTATCTTTTTTCATTAATTCATCTTTGGATGTTGATGTTGAAATTGATTTTCCAATTTGTGGTGAAAATGTATCAGAATTAAGTGGTGTTCGACGTAATTGATGTTTTTTACTTGGTATTGTTGCTGATATATTTTTCTCACTAATATTATTTTTTGTATTTAATGAATTAAATTTTGTTTCTTCTAATTTTTCATCTGAAAAATGTTTTTTACCCATTGTATCATATTTTTTATATGTATCACTGACACCACCACTACTACCGCTTATATTTGATGTACTCATTTTATTTGCTAAAACTTCATAACGTTTACCGAAATCTGGTGGTGAATTTGTTAAATCACGACTTAAACGTCGTCCTATTGTATCTAAACGTTCGCTTAATATGCTATCTGTACTAAAACGTCGAACATTTAATGTTGATGAATTAGATCTTGATCTTGTATTATTATTACGGAATAATTTCTGCATTGGACTTGAACGTGGTTTTGGACTTAAACTTAATCGTGGTTTTGGTGATACTTTAGGTGATAATGATGGTTCAATAATTTCTGGTATTTCAGGATTTAAAGCAGTTTCAGTTGTCTCAGTACACTCTGATACAACTTCAAGTTTTGGTTTCATCTTTTCAGCTTGTTGAACTCTAAATATACAAATATAAATATTTTTATTTATTATAAATTTTTATATTTTAATAAAAGTTTTAATTAAATTATAAAATTACCTTCTAATCTCCTGGATCATTTCGAAAAATTGCGCTTTACTCCTTCTTCGGCGACGCTGTTCATCTTCCTTCTGGAACAATTTTTGATTACGTAAAATCCGAATATTCAATTTGATAATATGATATTTTAAAGAAGAAAATTTTGAAACAGAAGATAGAAAGCAAGAAGATAAAAGCCAAATTTACCACACAAAATTATAAATGAATAAAATTTAAATAAGATTAGTAAATAAAAGTTGTTTTTGATGTATTTTGCAAAAATATATTGTATATGGTGCAAGAAGTAAAAAATTTTTGCTTTTACATAATATATAAATACAATTATATTTTTTAAATATAAGCTTTAATATTTTGCAAAAAGTGACATTTAATTTTTAAAATAGAAAAAAAATTTAGACTAAATATTAAAAATTTGATAGAAAAAATATTTACATTAAAAATATTTATTTTATTTAAAAATTAACAGTTATATCTTAAAAAGCTTAAAAATAGCTGTGTTTTAAAGAGCTGTGTGTTTAAATTTTTCTTTATAAAGGAATAAACAGTTGTTCAATTATAGCTTACGTATTAGCTTTTTTAGGGGAAGTTAAGCTTAGCAAGTGTTGGCAGCTAAGTAAATTTGCAGTAATAATAAATTTTTGAGAAATACTCTTCAGGAGCCACAGGTGGTAGTTGTAGTTCATGTGGCAGGCGTCCGTTATTGATATTTTGAGGACAAGTATTTAAAGACAAGACTTTGGCAAAGCGAACTATTACCTTTAAAGGGGAGGAAAGGCATTTACTTTTGTGATTGGGGCAGTTGAAAATGTTCTAGATCAGCAGCGAACTCCTTCTAATGGTAAAAATAACGAAATGGGGGGAATTTCGGCACAGAGTTTCTGAGGAATAGGCTTACAAGGCGCGAAAGAAAAATGTGACTTTTCAGAGGTAGAACAAAGCATAATAAGCTTTAAAAGTGGTACTGAATAGATTGTCACTGTCGAATTTTAGAATATGTCTGTACTTTACTCACGCAGTATTATATTGAAGTAAATCACGTTGAAACAACATAGTACATAGTCTTATGTGAGAACATTCAAGTGTTACTTACAGTGCATTCAAGTGCTATATAAGTTTCTGTCTCGCGAGATCGGACGTTGGCTCTGCTCAGGGCTGGCATAAAATTTTTCAACTTTTATTACAAATACAAATTTCTCCGACCCTAGGCTCTGAATCGGGTCTGATAATCTACATGTTTAGAAGTGCTCGTCGCGGCCGAGAAAAATTCCAAGACAGGCTCGGAACATTGGATGTATACGGCCCTTTAAAATTTTTTAGAACACCTAAACTAAACTTTTTTAAAAGTATACTTCAAAATTTTGATTTGCACAAAAATTTTTTTCAATTGTATTTCAAAAAAAAAAAAACATTATAAAAGAAAAGATTTAAAAAATAGTAAATATTCAAATATTATGAAAATATCTTGACACAAAAAATTTGAAGTAAATATTAAAGTGCTTGTAATTTTTTTTTTTTTTTTCAAAAATTTTTACAAAAACAGCAATAACAACAATTAAAATATTAATATTTATATTGTTTATTTTATAAAACGAACGAACCCTTTTGATACTCTTTTGGAATAAACTTGCAATTTGTCCTTGTCTTAATGTATGCACTAGCTCTCTAGCAGCATGATGTGGTGAAACCAATTCAACACAATTTATAAAACGATATAATTTTTGACTAAAGAACATAATATTACGACTTCGCCATACAGAACCTTTCGGTTTAAGTCGTAGTAATGGCAAAGTATATTTGAAAAATAAATGTTCAAATATTAGAATTAAAACTCCTAATATTACACCTAAACCGAGAAGAAGAAAAACTCCAGCAACAGCTTCAACACCTGTAAAATTTATAAGAATTTTTTTCTTTGATTTTGATATTATCTTTATGATTTTGATTAAAATTATTGCATTAAAATATTGTATTGAAAACTATAAACTACTGTGTTGTCTAAGAGTTTTTAGGTGTAAATAAAATTTTGAATTTAAAGTTTAATGTTAATTATATTGAAATTACCTAAAGGACGTGGCATCACAATATCATTATCTAATTGATAACAAGGCAGTCCACCATACCATTTTTCTGTTAAAATATCTAAATAACCATTACTAGAATATTTTGCAATTAAAGCTGAAATTGAATCTTTTAATGGAAATCTGAAAAAAATATGATTAAATATAATTTTATATATATGTTATGCATAATTATTTTATATAGAATTTAATTATTTTAAAATATAACATAAGTAAAAATTTCCAATATAACACTTGTATATTACCCTTTTTTCATTCCAATAGCATATGCATCTTCAATATAAGGTTCACCGACTTTTTGTAATGAACATTTATGATCAGTTGCTCTATAATAATCTAAAATTGCTGTATCTCCTAACAATAAATCTAATGTACCATTCCTAAAATATAGAAGAATTATTTGATTTAAAATAAATTAAAGATTTGTAAATGAAAAATTTTTAAATATTATTTTTTATAATATTTACTTTAGGCCTTTAATTCCTTCTTCTATATTTTTGAGGGGAAATTTTTTCATATGTTCCCACATATGGTGATGATATTCTTTCATAAAAGATTCGGCTGCTGAAGCAGTTGGGGCTCCGATACGCTGCTCCAGTAGCTATCAAAAATGATAATTTTGTATTATAATTTTATTCAAAATAAATTAATTATATAATTTGAAAATATTTAAAATAAATGATAAACGCATTTTTCTGTAGTTTTAAAATAAGGATTTAATTAGGGAGTAATTTGTTTTTTTATTTGTGAGAATATTTCCTGTTATTTTAGAGCATTTCAAAGGAAGAAACTGGTGCTAGCATTAGATATTTGTGAATTTTATTAAAGTTTCAAACCAATTTGTATAGTTTTGTAGTATGACAGCAGTGACTTGATGTTATCCGTTCAACTAGGGAATGCAATTTCATGGAAAAATTTAAAACTATCTTCATCGAATACCATATGCAGCTTAGTCTGCAATATAGAACTAAAAATTTCCTTAATTGTTACTTATTTAGGTAATTAATTACTACGGTTAAAATATTGAGAGTATGAAACATTTAAGGTAAAAATTTTTTAACTACAAATCGCTGTTCATTTTGTTTCATTGATAGCTTCAATAATTAACTTAATTATTTATACAAAACTTTTTATTTACTTTTTACTAATTATGCATAAACTTTTAAATTTTCTAGAAAATATAAATTTAATTTTCATATAAGAAGACTTTTTAATAAGTTTGGTTAACCGCTATTAAAGTTTGACGATACTATGGAAATTTATCATTTATGTTCTTCCTTTACAACTCATATTGTATTACAATTATAATAATGACTCTGTTTAAGGTAGTTTAATAAAAGTAAAAAATTTTCTGTAAGGTAAAAGTTTTTAATTTTGCTTTTTTTTTAGATGATGTTTTCTGTTACATTAATTTCCGTAAATTTGGAAATTATTAGAGAAGTTTCTCTTTCATATTAGTCAAATATTTAATATTTTTGAAACTTTAAATGTATTAATATCCTAAATAATCTTATAAATAATTTATTTTAATTTATAAATACTCATTATATTAGGTTTATTATCGTGATGCTTGTTAACAAGTTTTTATGATAGCTTGGGTTATATACTCTTGTTTATTTCATGCCGAAAAATTTGTGAAAATTGTTATTAATTTTTTAATTCGTGCTCGAATTCCAATTATATAGTTAGTTTATTCTATATACATTTATTTAATATTCTTATAGCTTAAGTTGATTAACCTAATCGAAATACAAAAATTGTTCGTAATTTGCTCGAATAATCATGGATTCAAATAAATCAATTCAAAATTGTCGGTTTAATAAGTACAATCATAGTAAAAGTGCATTAAATACATAGAATTTATTGAAATTCTATATTGAATGAGAAATTATAAAAGTGAATCTATTTCATTGAATAAATACAATTGATTTGGGGAAAATTGAAAATGCGTTACAAAAAATTTTTATTTATATACAAATACATCGTTTTCTAATCGTATAGTCTAGACCTTTAATTTATTAAAATATATGTATATGTATATATATATAATATGCATTTTTCATTCCATTAGAAAATTGAAAATTTTCTCAGTTTATTTTACATAATATTATTATTATCGTATATTGTAAGAACCATTATGAATTCTATCTTTTAGAATATTATTGAAATTTGATACATTGACCATTTTTAATTCATTGAACCATTAAAAATAGTATTTTTGAACTATGTATAGAAATACTCCTTTTATTTTACATATACCAATAGTTTAAAAAGGCAATCAATAAATTTGGTTGAAAAAGAAAAGTATGCAATATTTTTAATTTTCTGATAAGAATAAAATTTTATTTACTTCAGACAAATTTATGCTTAGTATAACAGTTATATTTTCAATTATTTTCATGAAAGAGTTACAATTCAAAATGGAAATATTATTACCTAGAGTGTAGATAAACATTATAAGAAATTAGTTAATATTTTTAATAAGTTTTTGTAAATTGATGTGATTTTAATTGAAATTAGTTATTAATGAAAATTTATGGATTAATTTTTGTATTTAAAAGAAATTTTAAAATATTCTAAATAAATTTTTTTGTGACAGAATTTAAATTTGTATAAAATATTTAATTAATAATAGGCGAATATTATGGAATATAAATTAATTTAAATCCTTATCATACATTCATCTATCATTAAAGGAAAATTTTATTTCAAAAATAAACTCCCAAATTAAAAGTATTTAAAAAAATTTAATTAAATTTGAATTTCTATTAGTGTGTATATGTAATTTATGTAATGTATGAATTAATATTCTCTAAATGCATGATATTCTCAATCATATTAGACTATAAAAGGAGTGTTTAAGAGAAATACAATTATATTCAGTGCTTCCACAAGGTAAAAAGCAAATGTGTCTAATTTCGAGAAAAAAATGTACCCAAAATGTATTCGGTTTCGTAAAGTAGAATTATTATATTACTCCTTGATTTTTTTTTTGTTAGCACATAAACATTATTCAATTAAATCCGAAAGCAGTGAAAACTTATAAAAGTTTATTCTTATACTAATATTTCCTTATTCACAATAATTCACAATACGAAGAACAGTCTAAAAAATTTTAATTTGAAAATTTAGTATTTCGACAGTATGGTGATATTTTATAGTGATTCAGAAAGAAAATGTATCCAGATTTCAGTGAAATTTTCAAATCTAGTCAGTTTTGGCATTTTAGTAGATTTAAGTATCTTTGTATGCTAAATTTAAGGCAAAAATGTATTCAAATGGATTTGAAGTGGGAACACTGAATTTATATTATTATAATAGTATTTGAAAGAATATAAAGAAAATAAATCTCTAATCGAAATATCCTAAAAATATGCAATCTTAAAAAAAAAAAATTATAAACAGGAAATTGTATACTACATTATTATGTACATAAATACCTTAACAAATCATAATATTTTTTGTAGATATTAGTTATATAATCAATGAAATCAGGTGTAAATTACTGAATTACAATTGAATACAGGTGCAAATTTCTTTATTATTGATGTTCTTTAAACATCTAGAGATTTAAAACTTTTCAATATGGTATTAAAAATATTAAATAGAAAATTTTCGAAATTCGTATGTAAATATGTATGTATTCGTGTAAAATCATATTATGTGTATCAATTTATATAAATAAAAATATAAAAAAAATTTTTCGGTATTTAAAAGATAAAAAAATTTATTATTATAAAATTTAATATTTTCATTTTCAATTGTAAACAATTTTATTATTACTAGATAAAAACAGATAACATATTTGAACAAAATAATATAGAAAAATATTTTCTAATGTAAAATAAAAAAAGAAATAATAATATAAAATTCAAATTATCTTATTTAATTGCACATATGTATGTAAACTGTAACATACGTACATATGTACATATGTCCAAACATACATAAATACAAAAGTAGAAAAAAATTATAGACAGAGTGTTTCGCTTAAGGTGGTATTTTCAGTAATATTTTCAGGAACAGTTCTTTGATTAATTTCCAATAAAAAATTGTATTGGTGAATGGGGAGGGGGGGGGTTGCAGATGTATTCGTTTTCGAGCTACAGCCATTTGAAAAAAAAAAGATACCGAACTTTTCCTGCATATAAATAAATGCTTATAACTTCGGAACTGTACAACATAGAGTTATCATTGTTACTTTGTTTCACAGACGATTGATTGTTCTTTATTTTTGGTTTTACAATTAATTTAATTTTAGCCATAGTTTTCGAGATACCGGTCGTTAAAGTTAGAATTTTTGTTTTTTATTTTTTTTGAAATTTTTTTTTACAAAACCAGAAATTTCTCGAAAACTTTTGCTATTTGTTTTTTCGGTGCATTACGATGAGATCTAAAAGTTAGTCCATATAACATTTTCCCTTATGTTTCATAGTTTTGCCAGTAAAAATGTGTTTAATGTATTTAAAAAATAAGCGAACAATTTTTGCTGGAAACTGATCAAAGAATCATCCCTGAAATTATTTGCCATCATATGCGAAACATCCTGTATAACTATATATCACTTTGCTGATTTATACATTTTACAGACAATTAGAATTTTCTGAATATAAAATTTTTATATTTATAGATTGAAATTATTTATAAAATTAAGTTCAATTACCTAGAAACAAATAGATAACATAGAGAAAGTTTTCAATTATAAAATAGAATGATTTGTCTTTTTAATGAAATGCAAGATTTTAATTTGCTTGTTTTTTTTTTTTTATTTAAATTTTTCATATTATATGTGCATTTGTTCTTTTTAAGTTTCTTAACATAATAAAAATGTTCATAATATATTCCTACATGTACATATTATATGTGTAGATTTAAATATTGAAATGTGATTCTCATAATTTGAATATATGTAGTTATATTTTATTATATACAAATTTTCTAACTACACTAAATGAATATTATACAGTTTAAAATTCGTAATAAAATCGAATTATCTTAGACATAAATTAGTACAAAATTATTGGTACATTTTAACAAGTACGAGTATAACTATAGTAATGTGAGAATAACAGAATACTCGTATGTATTAATATAAATTAAATGTGTCGAAAATTTAAGTTTTAAATTTCAACTTTCTTTTATACTTTAAGGAATTCAATGTACCTCAACCCATATACATACTATAATAGTTATTTCTATATTTAATTCAAAAATCTGAAAATCATATTTCATTTATTCAATCGAATCATAATTACTACATGCAATTATATATTATACATATGTACTCGTATATAGTGAAAATAAAAACAGTAGAATCACAATAATATGAACTAATTAAATGCATGTAATTCAAACAATTGGATTGTTCAAATAAATGTAGAGAATTTAATTGAATTCGATTAGAGTATAAATTTTAAGTAGAATAAGAAAATTCATTGATCAGTACTGAGTTTATTCGAAAAAAAGAATTATATTAATTCATGAAGTTATTCGAAATATGAGTAAAATTTGCCTTGATCAAGTATAAGTTTACTCGATTATGAAACAATATTATTTTTTTTTATGGAATATGTAATTTTCGTTGTAAAATTTTTTTATTTA